ACACACGCACACACACACACACACACACACACACACACACACACACAAACACACACACACACACGTAAACAACCTGTGACAATATGCTTTTTGTACTGCTGTTACAAAGCACAAAACAGACAAAAATTAGCAAAAAATCAGTTAAGGTTTCCAGAATCGTTATAATCGGATTTTTCATTTCCAGTAAATTGAAAAAAAAGACGAAGTAAATGAAATGAAGAATTTGCATGAAAAGCTTAACGTGCTTAAATCTCTTCAAAAAAAAAGGTTTAGACTCATCAAAAAAATGCCTCAACCTAAGGCAAAATGCCTTACCATGCACCAATTCTCGACCACTCCAGCCTTGTTGCATCGATCGACAAGCTGTAGAACATTTGGTGAACCCCAGGCCTGTTGTCGAGCATAGGTGAATGCTTGTTTCAGCATTTCTGCATCCGATGACTGCAAATGATGCTTATTCCAAAAAAAAGAAAAAAAAACCATTTAATACTCTTCCAACTACGTTCGAAAAGGAGCCGGAAATGGAGATGGAACTCGCTAGAGGTGTGCAGCCCAGGATCGAAAAACTTGACATAATTGAACAAAAAAAGAGTGTGAAAGTATTTCAGTTAAATCACTAATACGAGAGACCCCTACACTATTCGAGCATTCTTTTCATCCAACAAATGATATTTTTAAATTAACTTTTTTTTATATTTTTTAAATTTTTAAAATTTTTTAAATTATATAAGTTTTTTTGCGAATAAAACAAAAGCCAAAAATGAAAAATGGTAATGCTGCAGCAGCTAAAATTTTGATCTCAGCCAGGAAAACTAGGAAACTGAAGGAAGAAACGGTTGAAATGGAAAAAAAAAGCAAACCTGTGCACTTGCCGGCAACGTAAATGGCACAATGGGAAGTTTTCGTTTTGCACAATTAATGATCCATGTAAATCTCGGCTCACGCAATCGATCACAGATTGACAAATCGTCCAAAGTACGACGGCATGTAGCAGATGTTAACACCATTCTATAAAATTTCAGTTGAAAAACACAAACATACACATACATACATACATACACACATACATACATAGATACATACATAGATACATACATACATACATACATACATACATACATACATACATACATACATACATACGTACATACATATATACATACACCTAATTTCGTCCTTGAAGGCGCCGTCTAAATGTCGCTAAAAAAACAAGGAACAAAAAGATAGAAAATTAATCAAAAATACCTAAAAATCAGAAGAAGAATGCAAAAGTGCGGGAAAATAGGTAAAAAAGGAAAGAAATTTTGAAAAATATACTGAAAAGTACTATGTATAACCAATGAGGGACAAAAACTAGAAAAAATCCAATCAAAATATGCCTGCGCTTTTCTTTTACTCTGCTATTTCAATTAGTTTTTGCTAAAAATTAAGACAAAATCAGAAACCGCCTTCTCCCGACCCACCCCCTCCCCCTCTCTCCTCCCTTGTCTACAAATCATTCTTCTACGATGAGCAGAGGCATTTGCCAACACAATCGCTGGCAAGGCTGTCGATGGCTTCCTCTTTCGAGTGCTGCTTGTAGAAGCAAGCTTTTTGACCCTTTATAGTTTTTCATTACAAAAAAACGAACGAAATCGTAGAATGATTGGCTTTTCCAACGTCGAAGCCGAAACATCGAGCTCTAGCATGAATATTGCTGCTTACAACTACTCCACACTCCTAGTTTCTTGCTAAATCACTGTAGAAAATAATATAATTTTATTCTTGAAATAATTTAATGAAAACTTATTACCGTTCCTGTTGTGTGGGATTAAGCTGATGGGGATACTCAAGAGCCTGAATGAACGATTTTACGAGATTTTGCCGTGCAGCGGTAACTGGCTGTGAGCATACCCACTGTACCAGGCATACAATCATAAAGTTAGCATCATCACGAAAGGCATGAAGCACGTTCTGCAAATGGAAATTACGATAAGTAGTTGCAGCAACTTGGCAAAAGGCAAAAAATCCTATACGGATAAAGACCATACAAAAAAACTGGGTCAACCAAGGCAAAACTTTGCTGCAAAGACACGAAATTCTTCCGAGCACAAAATTCGTTGTAGAGAAATACAGAATCTTATCATTTCGGCGCAAAATTTGAATAAAATGGACAAAAACCTAGACCCGAATGTGTTCGAATCACTATTCATGCGCTAAAACCAAATCATTAAGTACGAAGATTAATCTAGAAAAAATTCAACGCTATGCGTTAAAAGGTATCAGATTCGCAAAAAAGTGAAACCCAACGTCATTTAACAAGAAAGACAACCCTTTTTCTGTATTTTTCATACTACACATGAAGCTTATGTTCTTAACGTCTTAACGTCTTCAATGATCAATCCTCACTGAACTAAAGCATAAATTCAGAAGAAGAAATTCGATGCACATTTACAGCAAAATCAGAAGCGTCGCAAAAGGAAGGCGTTAACAGCAAGGAAATGAAGTTGGCAGCTAATTCCCTTCGCCCTGCCCTTCGATTCCATGTGATATACAAATGTCTTGTTTCCTGACTCGAGCTCCCGCCTCCGTGATATGTAATGATGTGATTAGAAATGAAACGGGCAATGCTGTGTCTCGCCAGATTATTGATTATTTTGCGGCACAGCTTGGAGCTGCTACCGCTCCTCAGCCCCGCCCCCTACATACTGCACGTGCCGTGCAGCAGCAACTTGGAGATGCTGCCGAATCTTCTGCGCTTTCCGGTCTGTTTCTGTTAAATGTATGTGTTCTTTTTAAATAAAGCACTGTTTGTTGGTTTGGGTGAGTACTCTCTGCACACCGCAGCCCCAAGGGAGCACCCCCTCCAGCCACGCAGGTACCCAACTTTCCTCTGCGCACTGCAGAAGGTATCCACGAAGCTGATCAGAAAATGCACATTCATTCCCGATATTTCAGACTCTAAGAGAAGCTTACAACGAGGCTAATAAAGGATTTACCTTAATATTCTCATGCAAGTGATCATCGGGTTTTGACATTTTGAAGTCTTCAAGAAGAAGTTCACCAATAAGAGGAACAAAATCAACAAGCTCCGCATAATTCACTCTATAAAAAAAACAGTCGCTAAAT